TGGTGCGGGGCGCGGGGGGGGACCTGACAGGTAACACACAATAGGCCCAAATCTCTGTGCATCTATCGCATATATTCTGTATGTCTTTATTCTTGTACACAGGTCAGTCCGTCTTAGAAAAGAGATCATGATCTCAATTCGACCATCTGTTTAAATCGTGCGTGAAATATATAAATACATCTACCGTCAATAATCATGCTCATTCAGTGCGTAGACAACACAAGGCTAAACTCCATTAGGAACGCTGGTATTTTTATATTTGTTTACTCAACAGCCTTATTACATTGGGGCTTAACATAATTTCGAGGCATCTTCTGGTAATTTGGGGCTAACACATCAATTCGGCATATAAAATGAATTTTAATTGGGTTTCTTTTCAACAACTGCCAGCCCTAAATACAACGCTGTATAAAAGCACGTTTTTAACTAATACAACTAATTATTTTTGTTGAATAACTTTAAGCTATATGCCGAATTGACTAGAACTCTTTAAACATTCATCCATGGCCTAAAATGATGTCTTTCCACTTTGGGACTTTGCAGCCGATTTAGCCCAACTTTAAACTCTCCGACTGCCGAATGGAGTTTGGCGTTTCACCCAAAGATGAGTACGCACCCTGGGCTGCTGTAAAGCCATGCCCGTGGAAGTCTGGTGATTAGATGCTGACTGTAAAACAATATTTCTGCTGTAGAGGTACTTCTGAGAGTAAGCTGACATGCATTTCTTTTGCTGACACTATGGCTTGTTACATATGCAAAACCCCAGTGACCGTGGCGGCATATGGCCAGATTTCTGTAGACTCAGCCAGTTTCTTAGCATGTGACTGATCCCGGCTAGAACTGGCCTGTGTACTAGCTAACAAAGGAGTACAGGAGATAATGGTACAAACACTAAGAAACCCAACTTCTGTCATTACTAGGGAACTGCGGCAGGTTAATGCCTGCCAGCTTGACTGTGGTGCTAAGCTGCTAGCAAACGGTTCACATGGCTCCACACGCACTTTGTAACGTTACAGAGACATGTCAACACAACCCAAACTGAGCCGTCAGAATACATTTCAACACATTAACATGTCAACTTGCCAGTTTCCGGAGCCAACGATGCAGACTTTCTTCGGAGCTGCCATTGTGAAGAGGTGAACCTGGCTCCGTGGACCTGCAGTGTGGTTACGCAATGAACACAAAGTGAGCTGCAAACCGATTTTATTGGCCTCTCTGAGGGGAGACACCGACCCGCCCATTGTACGGATTCATCAAGCTGACTAGAGGTTATTAGGCTCAAAGTAAATTGGACATGTTCCCGTGTTGATGACTAATGGCGAGAAAAGGGCACGGACGGATCCAGAAACAATAACGGGCCCTGGGCACAGACGCACCAGAGGCTGCCCCACCCCTTTTACATACTACAGGAGCAAGACACAGACTGACACATAAAGACTCTATGCAGCAATTTTCTTTCTTTGGGCTTGTTTGAGCTCATAGCTCACTATGTTATCCTGTTCTTTATATTTTTCTGATTACTTCCAGATGTTTTTGGCACTTAACTCCAGCATACTTTCAGCTAGAAAAACCATCCAAATATCAAAATGGTCAGCCTTTTAAGGACATGTTTGCTTGTATTTTTCGTTTTTGTAACATTTATACTTTTTAATATATTCAGCATTTGTGTGTCATTGTGCTACTGTACCTCTGTGTGTGTTACTGTGCAGACTCTGTATGTTTGGGTGTTTGTTACCAAAGTCAGTGGCATCAACCACTAATCTATCCAGCATTTAGAACTTTTACTGGTTTCTGCAATTGGTTAATGAGATTGCAACGAGATCTAAATCACACAAAACGATCAGTGAGTGAGAGCCGCTGTACCAGAGTCAAATTCCTCATGTGTCCAACACACCTGGCCAATAAAGCTGATTCTGATTCTGATTCTAATAATATCACTTTTGGTTTTTGACTGGGAAAAACAATTAGAATATATTAAGTTGTTAATTATACTCCACTTGCTTATCCTCCACTAATGATAAAATAACTATGTATTCAGAAACAATACAGAGGCAACTACTGCCTTTTACTCCCCTACATTTATTTTCACAGCTACACTTACTGTACATCTCAGATTCAATGATTACACAAGAACCTATGGTCAGATATTCAGATATAGACATAAGACAACTGCAGTAATTAAGTGAAAAACCTGTTATCACTATTTCAACATCTTTTAAAAATTATCTTTGGTGAAATAAAATCAGTTTTTATGAATCTACAATTCCTCCCACAAAATGTCTATAGGCTACTGTGACAGTGAGGGTAAACTAAACCTTTAAAACAGCATTCTAATAAACTTGCAACTGAGTGCATAACATATGATGCAATTCTAAATGTTAACAGTTTGTAATGTAATTAAAAGCTCCATCTCAACCAGCAGCAACATAAAAATGCTACTTGCACACTACAGGACATTCTTCTGATTAACAGCAAAGCAGGTTTTGACTTACAGTTGTAATAGAATCTTTTTGTTGTTGCCAGTTTAATTCAAATAGAAAACCAGACTATGTCTTCCACCATGTTACAAATGCTTCTTTGTCTTGCCTCCTCCACATGCACTCACAGGATACATGCTTTTCACTGTGCAAAATTTAGACAGCGCATGAAAAATCACTGGAGCAACAGAGAACGATCACTGTGGGAAAAGTTATTGTGTTGGAGGGGCTCAAACAAAAGGGGACCTTGTTGTGTAAGAGCTGGACGGCAATGTGGGAAGGAAGTAAAGTTCAAATTCAGCAGTCTGGTTTTCATGAGCAGGCACAAACGGAGAAAATCTGACTCCTATTTGCTCATGGTGAAGACTGAAGGTTACATAAGTGACTTGTAAAATGCAAATATATTGTGAGGCAGCTAACACACTAAAGACTGTATGGTCATTGTGCCATTTTGCTGCAGTGTTCTCGAAAAAGACAAACCAGTTATTTAGTGCAGTGGTGGATAAACACAGGAGAAATCTGCATATGCTTTGATTTGATTTCCTAAAATACCTTTAAAGAAAATAAAAATTATGCAAACACAGCTGAGGGCTGTTTGGGCTCAGTACAACTGAGGATAATGGTAATGTTGTACAAGTATTTGGGCATGTTCAACTTTTGACCTGATGATGGCACTAGAGGAAAAGTCAGGTGATCACCAAATCAGTAAGATTCATCCACCGGGGATTATCCGTGTCTGTATCAGAGTGCTAAAATAATCGTCCTTTCTATCTCAACTGAAAATAGAAAACAAAAAAGCATGGTGGCCAGAGGACTTGTTCTGAGATGCATGACGTCAAGCAGCCCAGGCTGGAAAACAACAATCTGGTGTTTAGTTTAATTGACTGATTAATATAGTACAAGATAAGCAGCTGTGACTACAGCAAAACAAAGAAAACAGAAATAAGTTCATACTTGAATACTGGCTTTGATAAATATACTTTTTAGAAACAAACCATCTACAAGTCATATGTACCGAAAAAACTGAACTGAAACACAGAACTGAATCATCTATATTAAATAACTTCAACATGTACAACATCAGACAGATTAGACTATGCTAATACATTAAGCTTATTATCCATAATAATTGCAATATTTACATTAAATTAGAGGTAATGGTATGACTGTGCTTGATAATAACACACAGCTACATGCTATACAATTCCAGTTTCTGTTGAGAATAATATGGACCTCATTGGGAATGAATACAAGTGGATTAACTCCAAAAATATATCTGATGGCTCGATGGCCTAATTGAAAACTGGCCTAACTGGGCAACATTTTCAATTGTCCTTTATCACCTTCTGAACTTAGCAAAGGTTACAACACACAGGCACACAAATAGATAAATGCTCACAGTATGCAATCATCACACAGACAGATGATGCAAACTGCAGTCCTCCATGGGCCTCATTTAAGATGCATACTGTACAGTGCTACATGCAATTTAGAGCCCTAGAAAACACATTCAACAGTTCTCATTAATTCAGTCTTGCCATGTTAACACATCTTGAAGGTACACTACCTTTAAAGTGATGAACCGCATCCACATACAAGTCCAAATGAAGTCTGTCTTGTACTCTTAGCAGGAAATATATCTTTACATTTTGAATTGCTTCGGTGATCACAGTACACAGTGATTGTCACTGAAATGGAATCTGAAGGCAAATTATACGACATAGTGAAGAGCTCTTAATTATACATTCATAATCTGGTTTGCATACACTGAATTCTGTTGCTGTGAATCCATGTCTTTGTCATTTTGTTTTCCGGGTTGCAAGCGATAGCAGACGTCTTTACTGCTCCTCTTGTCTGTTCTACGATTTTTCACATCTTCTACATTTTCAAGTCCTTGAACAAATTCTACAACTATTAAAATGCCTCCAAGAGGGAAAAGAGCTAATAAATCAGAAGCGAACGAGGATGTTGAAGCAGAAGAGGATTATATTTCAGCGGCACAAGTAACAGAGATGTTGAGTCAGCAGAAGCAGATGTACACCGCACTGTTGAGCCAACAACAAGACAACTTCAAAGGTTTTGTGCAACTACTTATGGAGACAAATAACAAGAGACTCGACGACATGACCAGAGAAATACAGGAGATAAAAACGAGTTTGCAGTTTACCCAGCGAGATGTGGATGTGATTAAAGCAGCCATGGGTGAACAGAAAATACAAACCAAGGAAACAAGGGATGATGTCTACAAAACCTGTGAGAGTCTAATAGCCATAACGGATAAAATGGAGCATTTGGAAGCACAGTCCAAGCGAAAAAACCTGATCTTCGAGGGAATCAAGGAGTCAGCTGGAGAAAGCTGGACGGAAGCGGAATGTAAGGTGAA